TGATATGAAGTATATATATATATACTTATGATATGAAGTATATATATATATATATTTATGATATGAAGTATATATATATATACTTATGATATGAAGTATATATATATATACTTATGATATGAAGTATATATATATTATATATATATTGTGTAATATAATATATTATATTACATTATATATATTATATATATACATATATATTATATATTATATATATACTTATATATATACTATATATATTATCGAGCATATATATACTTATATACATATATATAATTATATATATGTATATAAGTATATATATGAAGTATATATATATATACTTAATATATATATAATATATATATACTTCATAGATGAGTTAATTTTTTAAACACGTATGTACTTTCGGAGCAAAAGAGTTAATCTCTGTCATTGATTATTTGAAGATCAGCCGTTACGCATTCTATATTTCTCGTATGTGAATTTGTACTTTGACGAAGAAGCGGTAGGAAGAGAGTGTGAAGAGAGCATATGTTTAATGCACGATACGAGATAGAGATAGGATAGAGGGGAAAGTAATGGTAATGGAACGGGCGTTGTTTGACAGAGTCGCTGCCGACGAGCACGGCGGAGCATTCGAGCGCGTCGGACAGCGCCGGGGACCAACAGAGTGACCCACAGATTCAGCAATCAGCGCAGCAATGGCCGGCGGTGCTTGAGCTGCAAGCGTACAACGTGGCCCACTCGGCCGTGATCCCGCCTTATCATTTTTGGAACACCGAGTTTCGGAACAAACAGCCGGCCTTCATCCGGCTGAACCTCACTCTGCCCTGGGGCGCGAACTTCGCCGTCTACGGCAGGCGGAACGTCGCGCCCAGTGTCACGCAGTACGATTTCGTGGAGTTCGTGAAGGGCGGCAGGGTCGATCACAGGCTGAAACGCGACGCTAGCTCGGAAGCGGTGAGCTTCATGGAAAATTCGGCCGCGACCGAGCAACGATCCAGCAACAGTGACAACAGCCGGCAACAGTATCAACACGTGCTGATCAAAAGAACGATCGTGGAGCCGATGATGGTGAACGTTAGCCTGCTTCAGTACTTGGATACCGGACGTTGGTTCCTCTCCGTCTACAACGACGAGTTGCAGCCGTACAAGGTCACCCTGGTCGTGACGGAAGCCGAGGGCGTATCGACTACCTGCCCCAACGACTGCTCTGGAAGAGGATCGTGTTATCTCGGAAAGTGCGACTGCATCGACGGGTATCAGGTGTGTAGCCTTAGGTTTCTTCTTCCAGAGCCCAACGTCTTCCCAGATTAACACCAACCGTACCGGTTATTTCACACATACATATTCCTGTCAAATAAACGTTCTCTTTCTTCTTTCGCAAGGAATTGTAAGAAATAACGCGCAACGTAACTTTTCTAAATAATACAACATGTGACAACCAATCGTATATTTTCATTCTTATCTTTATCATAAACAGGACATAACATATAAACCGGAAGATCATTGGGGCAGCGTTTGCTTCATTTATGAAATAAATGAAGGATATTTTCATTTTCTTAATTGCATTTTTTCCTTTTTTTTTTTTTTTTTACAGGTGACATTTACTGCAGACATATTTTTCACAAATCGTACAAGATTTAATTTTGTTTTATTGTCTTTGCAAAAGACATGTCGTGTCTGACATGTTTTCCACAAATGCGAATTGTACGTTTTCCTTTTCTTCTTGGAGAAATTCCTGATAGTCTTCTGCTAATTGTAGTAGAAATTGTCTCGATATATTTTGTCCATTTGTTCCCTTATAAACGGTCCATGCATTGATATCGACCAAATCAAGGATGTTGAAAGAAACTTGGCACAGGCCATCTATGAGATTTGGATTTGACTGTACTGTCTCGCCATTCGATCAGTTACGTCGACACTGAATTTGGTTTTATTATAATACGCAACTGTCCCAAATATTCGCTTTCTATTGTCATTGATTTTTACACATTTATGCTTCGAACTTGGTGTTATAACCTTTTTTTTTTTTTTTTGCTTGGTTTGAATTTATAAATTGTTAGAGTACAATTATTATAAATTACTGTCGAGAAACGTTCCATTTTGTCTTTTGTTGATTCCGCCAGTTGCTATGCGTACTCGAGTCCAGAGCTAAGATCTCAGGCAGAGAAATTTAGAAAAGGATATAAATTTGTCGGTAAACAAGTCAGGCGATGAATTTTTGACAACAAAAATTGAAAAATCGATTAATCAGATGAACAAAAGAAGTAACAATAAATGTACAATTTTTAATTAAATTTTGAAATTTATTTGTCATTTGACTTGGTTAGTGTTAAGTAGATTTGCAACACAAACGAACGAGCCACGAAAGTTTTTCTTTCTTTTAGAAGAAATTCAGTTTCGACCGAACAAAAGGATCGAGGTTAGGTTTAGGTTAGGTTATCACATCGAACTTCTTTTACGAACATATTTTTATTCGTAATCTTTCAGTTTTAATCTTTCGAGCTTAACCTGTGGCTTTGAATAGCATACATCGGTATGTTCTATTCTTGTATGATACGCGATGTGTACTATGCGCTGGCTAAAGAGTCGGAATCATTGACCTGGCTACGTTGTGCTGCTCCCTCGTTAGTTTCGATCGACGAGGTGCAATACCTACTATATAAAAGACAATTCGTTTCATCTAGATTCTACATGACGAACGTGTAGCTGTACTTACATACATCAGTTATATTATATCAACGTTACGTTAATTGATAATTGGTAATTAATATTCGCAAACTGCAAGATCAATGTAATAATTTGCTGCTGTAACCACTGGAAAGAACACGCGTGGCTCTATCGCGGCTAGTGATTCATTATCTCGTAGATCAATTTTAATTATTAATTACTGGTCCAAGACTGGTTTCCTCAGAATGAGAAAGACAAAACAATCTACACGAGATTAGCTGGAGAATCGCACACAAACTGAACCCATAATTTTGGTGCATTGAATTTAATAGCATTCTTCAAACTGTAATCCACGTACTCGATCTCTCAACGAGAGATTCAATTTGCGCGTCAATCTTCTTCGAACGGCGTGGCGATTCGAAGGAAAAGAATTACAGGCAGAGATTAAAGGCGATTAGATCGTGGATAGATGCGTGGCCAACACGTAGAATGGAAGATAATAGAGGAACCGATGAAAATTTCAGGGTGCCGATTGCAGTAAGAGCGTGTGCCCGGTGTTGTGCTCCTCTCACGGGCAATATGGCGGTGGTATGTGCCACTGCGAGGACGGCTGGAAAGGTGCCGAATGCGATATACCATTAGGCGACTGCCAAGTTCCTGATTGCAATCAACACGGACAATGCGTTAGAGGATCGTGTGTTTGTAATCCTGGCTGGAAAGGAGTCTTCTGCGATGAACGTAAGTTAAGAAACATTTAACACGCTTAGTGGCCACAGTTTGGCACACACTTGCGGCATATCTGCTTGATAATTTTTAAAAAATATAATCTGAAAGAACAGCCCGCCTAGAGCTAAGAAATGTGGAACTCTTTTGAAACTTGTGTGTTTTTGTTTTCGAAATCAAGCGTTCGAGCAGAAAGACAAATGCTTCGAGGCATTTTGACAGGAAAGTGTTAATGGCATCTTCGTATGCCGCAGTGGGTAATGTAGTACACGACAAAGTGACAAAGAGAAAAGAAACGGATGATTCAACTTTTTTTTTTTTTTCAAGTTCATTAACGGCGACATTATGTTTTTGGAACTTGAAGGATATATGTATATATTTACGTGCAACGTGCTCGTGCTCGTGCAGCTATATTTTAACGTTAAAAATGAACGGAGCGGAGAGGCGAATTCCTCGCGGACGAACGTTTACCTCTCGACATCTATTCCTGCGTCGGATGTTGTTTCTTCATATTTGTCACGCTACTATTAATTTCCCCATAATTCAACCGCACGTCCTGCCTCTGCCACCGTACCGCTACTATCCGGACAGATTCAAGGTATTAGTAATGCACGTTCCCTCATCCGAGCTTATACGAATACCGTACGCCTCTCTGTATAACCTATAATTAATGCACGTTCTCTCGTTGAATTTACATATGGGTCAGCCATACGTTGCTGCGATTCAACCGGACAATTAGTTTTGTCCCGTTTTGGCGGTTGTTTTAATCCCTTCCTGAACAGCATCTTGTCATTGTTTTTGATTTAGTGTCAACAACGTTCGACGTTCTGACCGCCATTAATCTCGTTGCGACGCGGATTTCCCTATCCTATCGTCCTGCTCTTGTTCCGACGATGCGAAACAAAAAGATTACATTTTACGGGGTTCGATGAGATTTTCTTTTTTTTTAGAAAAGACCTAAGAAAGAATTAAATCGTTAAAATATCCAACGACTAAACTTTTTATTCTTAACACTATTCATAAATTATCTTATCTGGATAATATCTTTACCTCGTGTTATTTTATCTCCGATTCACTTTTATTTTATTTTATCGACTGATCAATTTGCTCGCTGCAGATGCGAAGACGCGCGAAAAATGGCAAAGTGTTAACAATCTGATAACTTATTATTGATATTAAAGTATCGTGAGTCAGTCCACTGTTCAATCGAGTTTAAATTGTCTGTCACCCACGAATTGAAATTAAAATTACAGTTACAGACTGTACTTGTGAATCGTTTGACGATATGTTTCAAATAGAAATGAAGTTTAAGTTAAACACCACACAGGCGTTCCTTGTTGAACCCTTTCCCGCGTGCAAGTACAGTAACGGAAAAATGACGTTGCTGGAACGAATGGGGAAATTATTCGCGGGAAAAGGGCCGCTTTGTCTCTGACACTCTCACGGTTTTGTCGCAACGCCCTCTTCCCCTATCGTTCTTCAGCAAACGATGGGGATATTCGTTTCGCGTTAAAGTCTAACGAGAGTACCACGATCGAGAATGCGTTTCTCCATTGCCACGATTAAATGGGTAGGAATTTGCTTAAAAATCTAAAGCTCGTTGAAACTTTCAGAAACTTTGCCTCGATTATTTATCAGAATGTAATTGCAGAGGAATCATTCGTTGGGATAATCGTAGAGTTAACGGTTGATAAACCAAAAATTTATTTTTTTCCTATCACGGATACGTGTAACGTTTTAAAGATCAAAGAGGAATTCGTATCGAAATTAACGCCCTCTGTATAATTCGAAACTTGCTCGACATAAATGAAATTCCTGGTAACTTTTAACCACTAATTTAATCAATGCTTGTAATTATTTCACCATGTTGTCACAGTGGTAATTCTAGAAGCAAGTCACGCACTCGCGATATTTTCCAGTACGTATCGTTAACAAAGTTTTGAATATTTCAAGGATTCGTGCAGCGACAATTTTCGACAACAACGTTGTTCCGCGTAATTTTTCTCTCCTGCCGCAAATTCCTCGGTCATTATCGTCATCTTCGTATGTTACGAGCACGGTTATTACCATTTCGTCGTATATTCGAGCCGTCGTACATGTCGTTCTACGCGACAATGCAAATGCGTGTCGTGTCAATGGTAACGATAAACACGAGCAGCGTAGTAAGTAGGTGCGTATTATTACGTAAGTGAGTATGAGATGAGATGGCAAATAGCGACGAGAGATGACGTATAACCGATATATAACTGGCCCGGCGGCACGCGTTGCATCGCCAGGACACTTTTGAAATTAAGTTCAATAATTTCCCCGGGGCAGCTAGGGTCCGCGGGAATAATGCAATTGTTCCGATGCCGTAATTTAAAAAGTTGGTGCCCATTCGTCGGTGCCCAGGGCGCAATCACCGACGACCGTTTTCCCTCCGTCTTCGCCGGTGCTTGTTCCGGAAGATGCCGCCGCGTTCTTGAGAACGACGCTAAATGTATTCATACCATCCGGTTCACTACTCGGTGGCGTTCATTGATAATACGCGTATTTGTTGGTTAGATCGTATATGTGTTTTGGTCACTCGTGGATTTCAATTCTCGCTCGTACGTAAGTACGTAAGTAAACGGAGTTCGAATAAAGTTTGCTGTTGAATTGTTACTGGGCGAGCTTCAAATGCATGTAAAGAATTTTTCAACCATCTTCTATTAAATAACAATTTCATTTCTCTTAGCTACTGCAGTGGATTTCGCCTGTTGTTATGATTTTTATAAATTCTCGTTAATTAAATTTCTTTATATAGCCAACTGATGTCGCTTCGCGAAAGATCTTTCTAGACGTAGCTAGAAGCATCAAAATTCTAGCCAATTCCAAGTTATCAAATATCGCGATTTTCCCTGCTGTTCTCTTTGCTTCGTCCCTGTTCTGTGCACACAACACTTGTCAAATATACGTAGACAAGTGCGACGTTACGTTGGATGAACGAAAGAGAACAGCAGCATCAATTAACCCATTCACTGCCAGCCAAATTTAAAGCGTTTTGCGCCAAGATTTTATTTCAAGGATCTTCGCCTTAATATAATAATATTTAATAGTTGCAGATGTAGCACTGAAATGGATTTCAAAGCTAATTTTAGCAACACACACACACATATATATTGTTTTCAAAAAAAAATATTCATTCTTTCTAATAATTCCTAATTCAAACGGCTTTGTAAGTTTATAGCTTATTTGGTGGCGAATTGCAAGCAATCTAAACTTGTAGCACACAAGGTACGAGATATCTCGTAGAGATTGGTGGACGTGGTGAATGGGTTAATGAGCATAAAGTTAGAAGAAGACAGCAGAGGCGATAGTGGAATGTAAGAAACACGAGTAATAACAAATTGCAGCTGATTGTTCGGATCCACACTGCAGCGGGCACGGCGCCTGCGTGGCTGGCAAGTGCTATTGCAAAGCAGGCTGGCAGGGCGAAAGGTGTAACCAGGTCGACCAGCAGGTGTACCAATGTCTGCCTCGTTGCTCTGACCACGGCACGTACGACCTCGAATCCGGAAGCTGCGTCTGCGAGGGACACTGGACCGGTGTAGATTGTTCGCAACCAAGCTGTGGCCTCGATTGCGGACCCCACGGAACCTGCGAGCAGGGTCTTTGCAAGTCAGTACACGTTCTACGTAGCTACCACCACCACTACACACGTCCCGTTGTCATCCTTTATGGGCCCTTG